ACGTTTAGGCGAGGATGAAACTATATTATTGCAAAAAACATGCTGTGCTTGGCTAATTAGCTGCTGCAATTAGCAAGGTTCTTTAAATCTTCTCACGCATAAGCATGCGCAGGCTCCTCGGTTGCCATGGAACCGAGGAGCCTGGTTGCCATGAAGTCACTGCCGATCTTTAACGGTTACTTTCCAGCCTGGACCTTGAAGCTGAACTTGCTGCAGTCTGTGGTTTGCTAAACTGCTAACGATGAGCTACGCACCAGAGGAGCACAACTACTCGAGAGATCATTTGGAAGGTTTGTTTGTACTCTTTTACTTTGTTAATTACAAAAATGTTACGTGAAAAATTATTAATTTGATGTTTTTTTTCATGACGCTGTGGCAGCTAGCTTAGCATGTAGCATCTCCGTCATCTCAGGATTAAATGTTTTTAGTCGATTAAATGTTAACAGTGATTTAATGATTTGAAAATAACTTTTATTTCTGTTTGAGAGAAACACCTTTGTTGAATTAGAAGGAAATGTTTTAAAACTAGGTGGCGCTAGCTCTATGATTTTAAAAAATGCATTTTGCTCTATGTGGAAATGTTGGGGAAATTACATTCAATAAATATTCAAATATATTTGAAGGACATTTAACACAATATGTTATCAAGCCGAACTGTTTATTTTTCTATTTAATAAAAAAGTGAACATTTTGAGTATTTTGTAAGTTGGCTGAATTTAAACCTGATAACAGCTGGAAAAAAGAAGAAATTAAGATTCTCAAGTTGTTTAGTTTAGTAAATGTGTTTAGGAAATGATAGGTTTTTATTTAGTGTTTTAATAAAAAGTTTTTAAGGGTTATTATGTATTAAATCGAGTTTTTATTGGTTGGAAATGGGAGAAATGATAACAGAGATAAAATGAGATAAAAAGTACATTTTGGCTTGAGAGGATAATATTTAACGAAGTTAATGTGGAAATGGTTGAAAAAATACAAAATTAATTGTTTTAGGATAAAATAGGTTTTGTTAATAAATACATTAAAACTTTAAAGAGGAGGATTTTTAAAAAATGCTGTGAAAAACATGGTCTCCATGGATACCTTAGTTGAATGCATTAAACAACTTTAGGCTTTTTTTAAAGGTGGCATATATAAGGTGGCATTTTGAATTTAATGGAAGATCAAATGTGCTAATAATGTTTGACTGATTTTAAAAGTTTGTGGTTCCAAAGGATAATTTTTGGTGAGTTTGGTTTCCAATCCTTTAAAAACAAGGTGGCATCTGGCCCCTTCTGTCAGAGAAGGCCTTGAAGAACAAGTATGGTCTCCATGGATACAACAATAAACAACTATAAGGTTTAAAATGATTGTGAAATAAAAATGAAATCCTTTACATTTTTGGGCTGTAACATGTTTAGAGCTTGACTGTGTTTATTCTAAGTGCTGCCATTGTTAACCGTGTGAGGAAAGCATAGAGAATAAATGTTTAATTAAGAGTTTAGAAAGGAGGATGATATGTTTCTTTTACAGGGAGAAGGTAGAATTAAAACAACAATTTAGAACCATATATTATTTAAACGTTTATCTGGGTTTAGTTTTCATTTTTCTGCAGCCTTTGTTTGAATCTTCAGGTGAATAATTTCATCCCATCTGTCACCAGTAATAATACAATTTATTCATTGAGGACTTATTTTTCTAGGTGTTCGAAACATTCAACACTGATGGTTTCACCTAACCCCATTAAAAGTTCTGAATAGGACCTTTTCTTTCAGTTTTTAGAAAAAGTAGAAAAATTATTCTAAATAGTTTGCTAATGTCCATTTCTGCTCTGGGCTTTCTATGTGCTGATTAAGGTCTTTATTTCTACTCTAGGATGCACTGAGGAAGGGGTCTGATAAGCTGAGGCTTTTAAGCCTTTATTTCTGTTAAGGGAAACACAGTTTTTTTTTTTCTGACAAATAAATATTTAATAGATCAAACCTTTTCTAATTCCGTAGTATGGGTTTAATAAAGGTTTACTCACAGCTTAAAATGTCCTTTAATCTGAACAAATCCAAATGAATAGTCTGGGTCAGTTGCTCCCAAATGTGGAAGCGTGCACCCTAGGGGTAGTTTAGTGTAATAGCAGGGAGCGTAATAGAAATAAAGTAAGTAAATGGACCATTTGGAGCGTATTTTTATATTGATAACATCCTGAAAAAAAAAAAATCAAAACCCCAATAACTAGTAAAATAAAGATTTGAATTTAAAATACATTTTCAATTTTGTGGTAGTCTCGTGATTTAAAGGATATTGTAGCCTTTTTTCTAAACCTAGCTGTCAGCAAAACGCACATGAGGACCAGCAAAATGTCCTCCCTTTACGACAATCGCTCCTCAGTGTGACTGTGAAATAACAAAAAAGGTCCCCACAATGATGCCGAGGACCATATACACACATATATACATAAAAATATGTATGTATGCACAGATTGATGTTTTTATTGATTAAATCTCCTTAAACCTGACTAACTCTCACAGGCACATTCAGCAACCTAAAATAAAGCATTGAGTATTGTGATTTGATGTTCCTTAATTAATGTTCCTGGTCTAATGATTTTTTTCCTCACTGCTCCAGACGCCCCGCTTCCATCTGATCCTGCCCTGGAGTTCTGGATCTTGATCGCGGATCAGGTTGATTTCCCTTTCTATATGAACGTAGGGCTGTTCTCGGATGATGTAGAGGAGGATTTTACTGTTGATGTGGAGTCTGATGATGAGTTTAGGGTCGTAGATGTGGTGATTAATGACGAGGAAGAGATAGAGGGTTCTGATGATGAAGAGGATGATAATGAGGCAGAGGTCCCAGAAGGGGTGGTAAATGAGGAGCAGGAGCTAGAGGATTATGATGATGAGGAGGATGATAATGGGGCAGAGGTCCCAGAAAGGGTGGTAAATGAGGAACAGGAGATAGAGGATTCTGATGAGGATGAGGATGGGTCTTTCTCTAGTGAGTCTCTTGAGGCGTCTAGTGACTTCTCTGGGTATGATACCATGAGCTCTGAGGAAGAAGACAGTGTAGAAGATGACCCCCTTCAAACACATCCTCGGTTCATTGAGACGGTTTCCCGTTTCATCAGACTCCAACGGTACCAGGCGCCGCCAGAGGACTCCTCGGAGAGTGAAGAGGACACCGACCTCTACGGCCCGGCCCTTCTTCCCGGAGGAGGAGAAGAGAGGAAGATGACGAAGAGGAGCCCCCTATGAAGCTTTTTCATCGGGACCTGTGAGAAGAGGAATTTGATCAAAAATCTTCCTTTAACTCCTTCAACAACTTCTCACAATGAAGAGAAGCTGAGGCTTCAGCAGAAGAACCAAACATTTTACCATCTTGCTTTGGATCATTTTGTAGGAGGAGTTAGATGTATTTTCTTGATTTGATGATGATTGGAGGTGGAAACAGTCATATCTAGGTATAATTTATTGATTGTGTTTATATCTGGCAGGTCTAGGGATGCCTTTGGTAGCGTCTAGCGCCGTGGCTTTTCTTTACCCTGCTAGGTTTTAATTTAAGTTTTAAATGTTACGAATTTTCCTTTAGCACAGAAATCTGAGCAGAGACATACTAACAATTTTTAAAAGGTATGAAACATGAGAGCTGGTTAAGGCGGAAACAATCTAACATGCTCTACGTCTAGACAGAGCTGGACATTCTCCTAGCTAACAGAAGCCAAACCAAACAATCCAAGGATTGATTTAAAAACGACGTTTGACAAGAAGAAACACAGAATGGAGGCAAATGAACAAAAACTAAATAAAAACTCAAAAAATTAAATCCTGGAGGATAACCAAACCAAACCGAGGCAACAGCCGGACATCGCTGCTGGGAATGCATCGAAACCTTTGAGGAGTGAGACATCGCTGCTGAGGACTAATACCCGGAGGTCAAACTGTTATCCTAAAGGTCTAAAAGTGGAGATGAGGAAAACTTCAAGTCTAGAGGCAGAGGGACAAGGCTGTAGTGGAGCAGAGGTCTCTAACTCCAGTCCTCTGCAGCAGCTTTTCTGCAGCTTTCAGCCGCATCTCTCCTCCAAAACACCAGGATCAAACAGCTCTACAGAGCTGAATGACTGATGAGGGAATTCAGACGTTTGATTCAGGTCTGATGGAGAAGAGATGTGACTGAAAGCTGCGGCATAGCAGCTCTGGAGGAGTGGAGCTGGAAAGCCCTGATCTATAGAAGGACAATGCTGCTGGAGACAAACTAGATCTAGAATAGAACAGTGGCAAAGATTGCGGTGGTCACCAGTTGCACTGGTCTCTGGGATGATGGTGAGAAGATAAAGACGATGCTTGGAGGGACTAATTGATTTCAGAGCAGTTTGAAGCAGAGGAAAGGACTGATTTAGGGATGTGGATTGTGAATGGCGCCGACTGTTAGAACCCGCTTTCAGCTGCGAGTTGATCTAGTTCTAGATGTTCCTCAGTTAGTTTTCAGCCCTAGTTTAAGGGAAAGAACCCTGTGCAGAAATATTCTCCATATGACCTGTGCCAGTTCTGACCGCAGTGGATCTCTTCTTTGTTTGTGAATCCCATGTCGGACCGAGCCGCTACAAGCTTTGGGCCGTCAGAAGACGCTGATGAGATCTACGGCGACCAAACCGGAGGAGCAGTAAACAGTGAGAGCATGTTCAGTAAGGAGACACAATAATCCATCATTTAAATATTAAGTCAACATTTCAGGAGGCCTCACTTAGTTTTTCATGTATTTTCAGGAACTGTGGACGTCCAAAATCAGAACTGCTGTGAGGAACCGGGACATCCAGGATGCTGAGGAGCCTCCTAGTCCCCACCTGAGGACGGCACAGAGGAGAACATGTGCAGTAAGCCTTTATTAACATGACAAACAGACAACTCAAGCTTCCAGGCAGAACACAGAGAGACCAAGATGACTATTTGAACAACATCCTGCCCCAGATTTAAACTTGGTGTCAGGAAATTCTGTAGATTAATTTAGCTTCTTTTTTACAGAAGAAGCAGGTTGAATATGGAAGCAGCGTTCTAACAGTCGGATCTCAGTGGAACAGAGTCCATCCACATGTATTTGGAGGTATGTTGGTTGTTTGACTATAGAGGCATCACATGCAGACAGTTTATGACTCTGAGGACACTTTGCTTTCATTGATGAAGGAGCTGAAGCAGAGGATGGAGAACACAGACCACCAAGGAGGAGAAACATGGCTGCCCTGCTCGTCTCTCCAACATTCTGGAGTCCTGGAATGAAAAACGTCGACGACCCCGCAGCTAAACCATCAGTCTGCTCCACCCAGAAAGAAGGTAAAGAACCTTTATTGCTTCCAGATGTTCATCAGTAGTGGAGAAGACAATAAAAACAGATCCAGAACAAATAGATTCAAAACCATCCCATCAAGGTGGTCTAACCTTTAATTCTTCTTTCCATCATGAAGGGATGTTTACCTCAATTTATCTCTATAACCAAAACTTTACCAGAACCAGAAGTTCTGACTTTTCCATTAGACCACAGATAAACAGTTAAGAAGCAGCTTCTGATCCAATATGGGAGAATTTCCCCCTGATTGATCTCTGAAGGGTTTTTAGAACTTATTAAAGCAGAGAAACGACCGACTGTAGACTCCAACAAATGCAGCATTTTCAGGCATTTTCTCCAAGCATCCATTGTCTACAGTTATCACTGCTGTTAACTTTAGCTTCTCCCTGTGTGTTTCCCTCTTCTCTCCGTTAAATTGACACCTCTCAGTGTTTCTGTGTTAAAATGTCGCTGACTAGCGTGTTCTCTCACTAACTCCTGTTCTTCTCTTCCAGCAGATTTCTTCCGTCGTCTCCTCGTTGGACCGGCACCTCTTGGACGTCGCAGTAGATGGGCGCTGACATGGAGCCAGGTTCTGCTGGAGGATCCTTCCTGCTTAAAGCTAGTTTTCCTCTCTACTGTCACCACTTCGTTGCTCAGGAGGAGGAAATGCTACAAGATTAATGACTGGATGCGGTTGGCTGAGCTTCTTTGGATTGAAGACATTTCTCTAAACGCCAAAATAGACTGAATTTATCTTTACCATATTGTAAAAAGGATCGCATTGGATTTTTATGATTGATTTCATTCTGTGTTTGTGTTGAATTGTGTTACATGTTTCTGTTTTAAAGCTCTCGTGTAAATTGCCTTTAGATGACTTGTTTTTATTTCACTAGACTAAATTATATTAAATCCTGCCTACTGGTTCTGTTTCTACTAAGGGATCCTTCCTTTTATTTTATATTCACCTGTTATTTTTTACTATAATAAAGCTTTGATTTAAGTAATTTGAACAGGACCTGTTGGTCTTTTTTAGTAAATGTTGTTGAAATAAGTGGTTGTAAATGGGTTCTTTATAAATAAACCAAACTGAAGTCAACAGGAGCTCTAATATTACTATATGTGAGGTAGTATGGTCAAGGATCAGCAAGGTGAACAAAACAAACAGCATCAGCCTCCGGTTCCAGATTCCTCTGAGGATTTTTATTCAGCACTTTTCCCTCTGACAACCATCTCCCTGAGCTTCCAAGATCTCAGTGCCTGTATAACCAGTTGGCAACACACCTGCACTGGAGTGGACCGAGCCACAATTAAACAGGTAGAAAACAAACAAAGTCTAAACAGAGAAACAAGAATAAAATGATTAAGCTAATTTACAAACTCATCTACATAATGAAACAGTCTACAAAATAAACATTGTGATTGAAGATAACTCAAAAATTTACTTTAAAAAAAAATCAAAGTATTACCCCAAAGAAAACCCCTCTAAATGGAAGAACCCAGCAAGGCACTGAAGTGTAATTTATGCATTTTATACTGTAAAAAAAATCAATATACCAACAAAGTAGTTTCACAAATATAGTTGAAATTGTAACGTGGTATTCTTTTGGAATGGTGGCTCTTCTACTCCTCTGTAGAAACAGAAATAGGTCTCTGGTGTCTTTTTAGACTGCTGAATGTTTAAAAAAAAAAAAACTAAATGTTGGAACCGTAAATCATTACCATTCTTACGGTGTGTTCTTAAAGTCTTTTAACCTTTTTACATTATCTGTTTCATCACTTCTTTATCATTTAAGTAAACTTAGAAGAACTTCTCAGTGACATCAGTTTATTTTTAGAGAAGCAAGTATTTACAGGTGCCGGTCATAAAATTAGAATATCATGAAAAAGTAGATTGATTTCAGTAATTCCATTTAAAAAGTGAAACTTGTATATTATATTCATACATTACATACAAACTCATATATTTCAGATGTTTATTTTGTTTAATTTTGATGATTACAAATGACAACAAATGAAAATCTCAAATTCATCATATCAGAAAATTAGAATATTACTGAAGACCAATAAAAACAAAGGATTTATAGAAATGTTGGCCAACTGAAAAGTATGAACATGAAAAGTATGAGCATGTACAGCACTCAGTATTTAGTTGGGCCTCCTTTGGCCTGTTTTACTGCAGCAATGCGGCGTGGCATGGAGTCGATCAGTCTGTGGCACTGCTCAGGTGTTATGATAGCCCAGGTTGCTCTAATAGTGGCTTTTAGCTCTTCTGAATTGTTGGGTCTGGTGTATTGCATCTTCTTCTTCACAATACCCCATAGATTTTCTATGGGGTTAAGGTCAGGAGAGTTTGCTGGCCAATTAAGAACAGGGATACCATGGTCCTTCAACCAGGTACTGGTAGCTTTGGCACTGTGTGCAGGTGCCAAGTCCTGTTGGAAAATGAAATCTGCATCTCCAAAAAGTTGGTCAGCTGCAGGAAGCATGAAGTGCTCTAAAACTTCCTGGTATGTGGCTGCGTTGACCCTGGACCTCAGAAAACACAATGGACCAACACCAGCAGATGACATGGCACCCCAAACCATCACTGACTGTGGAAACTTTACACTGGACTTCAAGCAACGTGGATGAAGTGCCTCTCTTCTTTTCCTCCAGACTCTGGGACCTTGATTTCCAAAGGAAATGCAAAATTTATTTTCATCAGAGAACATGACTTTGGACCACTCACCAGCAGTCCAGTCCTGTTTCTCTTTAGCCCAGGCAAGACGCTTCTGACGCTGTCTGTGGTTCAAGAGTGGCTTGACACAAGGAATGCGACAGCAGAAACCCATGTCTTTCATACCTCTGTGTGTGGTGGTTCTTGAAGCACTCACTCCAGCTGCAGTCCACTCTTTGTGAATCTCCCCCACATTTTTGAATGGGTTTTGTTTCACAATCCTCTCCAGGGTGCGGTTATCTCTCTTGCTTGTACACTTTTTTCGACCACATCTTTTCCTTCCCTTCGCCTCTCTATTAATGTGCTTGGACACTGAGCTCTGTGAACAGCCAGCCTCTTTAGCGATGACCTTTTGTGTCTTGCCCTCCTTGTGCAAGGTGTCGATGGTCGTCTTTTGGACAACTGTCAAGTCAGCAGTCTTCCCCATGATTGTGTAGCCTATAGAACTAGACTGAAAGACCATTTAAAGGCTTTTGCAGGTGGTTTGAGTTAATTAGCTGATTAGAGTGTGGCACCAGGGGCCATCAATTTTGAACCTTTTCACAATATTCTAATTTTCTGATATGATGAATTTGAGATTTTCATTTGTTGTCATTTGTAATCATCAAAATTAAACAAAATAAACATCTGAAATATATGAGTTTGTATGTAATGTATGAATATAATATACAAGTTTCACTTTTTAAATGGAATTACTGAAATCAATCTACTTTTTCATGATATTCTAATTTTATGACCAGCACCTGTATTAAAAACATTTTTAACTATTTACATTAGATTTTAAAATTAACTACTACAACTATTTACAGAAGATATAAAATAAATATTACTAGAGAACATATATATATACAATTGTGACTGAGCAGGAGTCCCTGGTGGTGCTGCTGGACTGGATGGGATGCCACACAGACGACCTTGGAGTCTTCTGACTGTGAGTGTGACATCATATAGGGGGTGGGGGTGCCTCTCTCCACTGTTCACCACATCGTCCATCAGGGTTTGCAGGGCTGACCCAATCGACGGCTGCCATGTTACTAAAAAAGTTTTAAAAGACGCAGAAAATAATGACTTTACTAAAAGTGTTTTCATAACCCTGAAATAAGAACAGCTAAAATGTGATTGTACTTGCCATCTAAATGTAAAAGTGGTCAGGTAGACCCTCCTCCAGGGGCAGACACCTCAGCAGACAGCTGGTCCCTCCATGGAGCACCACTGACTGCCTCCAACACGTTCTCCCCTCCTCATCCTCTGGTATGTCATCCTCTGGGGCCTTGATGTCACCGGCTTTCAGGCAGATGTTGTGCAGGACAGCACATGCTGTTATGACCTGTAGAAAAAAAAGACAAAAATATTTACTTTTATTCAGTCATCTATCTTTTTTTCATTATCTTTATTACATGATTTATTAGAAATTAAATTTTACTTGATCTAGATCCACTATTTAACTTATTTTTTCGTTTTTATATTTAGACTTTTTTCCTGTATTATGTTTTTTTATATATATAATTGCAAATAATATCAGGCAGCAAGGGGATAACAATTTAGACAAAAAATTATTTATTTCTCAACAGTTTAGCTTCTCAACACAACATTAGTGATAGTGAAAGTAGTTATTTAAGTCAGTTATTTACAAATGACTAAAGTTACAAACAAATAAATTACAAACTTACAAATAAATATAAAATTTGATATTTAAACATATTCATCAATCTGCTGACAATCGTTTATTTAATAACTGGTATATTCTGATCATTAGCAGGCCCCTGTGGGTTAGAATAATAGCAGGTAAATGTTACCTCTCCACTGCGCTCTGCCAGCCTGAGAAAAATCCGTCACCAGTTTTGCTGCCGCCGAAGCCGTCAAAGCCGACTCTCCTTCTCCAATAGCAAGTAAATAAAAAAAAATAAAATAAAAATTTCCATATCCATTTTTTTTTGTTTAGTTGTTTTTTTTCCGTGTTTCTCGAGCTGTCGGATTTTGTTTGGTGCTGTTTTTGGGGTAGATGTGATGACGTCGTATCGCAACCATGAAGTGCGCCAAAGGCTAGACCGTCCCATTTACCAATGGCTGAGGATCCTCCGGAGCAGCCTACCAAGGCTGGGTCCTCCGGAGGCTAGGTAGGCTGTGTCCTCTGAAGTACGCAGCCTGTGAATTGAGACGCAGCTTGCGAGTAATTCCACATCTGGGCTACATATCTGCTGCTTCACGTGAATATGAGCCGAGCTGCACCATCTCTCATTCACAAATACCGCCAGACCCCCTCCTCTCTTTTTTCCGCTAAAACATCATTGCCTTTCATGCTTGTTGTATCAGGCATCATAGCGTCCTTTTCCAGATCAAACTGAAAATTTTACCAGCTAGATAATAATAATAATGATAATAATAATAAAAAAAATAACAAAAATAGTATAACAATACACCTATTATTATAAGACTCATGGGAAGCCGAAAATGGACTCAGACTGCCACCTAGTGGCTATAGTAGTCACATGTTTTTCACGCAATTCGTGAAACACGGAGAGCGTGAGTGAAGTGTCCATTTCCAACCAGGACCTACTGTATATCTCATAACACATCGTACCGAAAAGACAAAACATTTTACTTGTTTGAATTTCTCAAATGAAAATAGCACAAACAAGGAAACAAAACTAGCTATAGCAATGAATACAGTTTATGTACATTAAAGTAACTCCGTGTTTAATTCTCAGGTGAGTTCGCAAGCAAGTTTGGTTGTGGCCACTGTCTCGGAAGCATCTTGCTAACCAGTTAGCAACTTAGTGCTAGTAGTTTCCCAATGGGAAATTCCATTTGGACCAAGTAGCACTAATTCGGTGACTGAGCAAC